GGAAGGAAGGAAGGAAGGAAGGAAGGAAGGAAGGAAGGAAGGAAGGAGGAAGGTTTCCTGGTGCGATGAGATGGACATTGAACTTTTTGCCTTTGCTGCAAAATGCTATCTGTGGTGCAAACCCAGCGGTGCTTGTTGCCCTGAGAGCACCATCCCCATGGTGAAGTTTGGTGGTAACATGTTGTTAGCAAAGATTGGGAAACTGGTAAGGATTGATGGCAAGATTGATAGAGCCAATACAAGGCAGTTGTAGAGGAAAGCTTGTTTCATTCTGTGGGGGACCTGGAACAAGGAAGTTCACCTTCCAGCAGGACAGTGACTCTAAGCACACAGCCAGAATAATACTGGCATGGTTAAAAAGCTGAATGACTTGGAGAGGTCCACTCAGCGCTCAAACTTCAATCTGACTGAAAATCTATGGTTAAAACTTAAAAGTTGTTGTTCACCAGTGGTCCAGTCTGACAGTGCTGGAGCAGTTTTGCCAGGAAGAATACACAAACTTTGCAGAATCCAAGCCCACAATATTAATACAGACTTGCCCAAGGAAACTAGCAATTGTAGTTATTGCCAAAGGTGCTTGTACCAAGTATGGACTCGGGAGTGAATATTTGCAACTAAAAAATGCTAGGTTGTTTGTGTTAACTTTTGCACCACATTAAAATTATTTTGCAGCTTCACAATTGTATGTTCTGAATAGCATGTGTAAGCAGTCAAATTCATTTCGGCTACAGATTGTACTGCACAAAATGTGGAAAGCGGGGTTGGGTTTTGGTTGGGTAGTACCTACCTTAAAGAACTGAGATTTGCTCAAATATGGATGCCCAGGGAATGATGGAAACCAGGATTGCCTTTACCCAGCATTAGATTGTGTGCCTATTATTCCTGTTCCTGGAAGAAGCAGTTCTGACTGGTAACATGCCTTGCCTGCACCTAAATTGGTTAGTTGATGTGCTCTATATTAGAACTACATTTTTAAAAGTCTTTGCAAAGTACAGTTGTACTTAAATGGAGCAACGATACTACTGGGTGTTTGCCCTTGGGATCATATTACACCTCTCTCTTCGGTAGCTGGACTGGTTGCCAGTTTGTTTTCAAGCACAATTCAAAGTATTGGTGATTCTCCTCAAATCCCTAAATGGCTTGGGTCCAAGCTACATAATGGATTGCCTCCTTTCATACCAGCTCACCTGCTTCCTCAGTCTGGTGGAGAATCTGTTTTCTTTGGTCCATCTGTTTTCTATGGACACATGGTTAGCTGTGGTGAGATAGGCTACACCTAAATTATGGAACTTGCACTTTGAGATCCAGGTCGGTCAATCAGCCTGTCCCTCTCCCACATGCACATGCACACACTACTTTCTACCCACTAAAAATGGTCTTATCCCAGCTTAATTTTACCTTCCTGAGTAGATTATACTTCTATCTGAAGAGCTGGTTTTACCTGTTATGCCTGTCTCTGTTGTTTTGTATTTCAGTTTCATTTATTTGGTATTGTTTCATTGTGGTAATGTGACTTCTGTGACCATCTTTGTGTAAGATTTGGAAAGTTGTGTAGACATTCAAAAATTAAATTACAAAAATTCAGATATAAGGAGTGGCATTCTTTTTGTGTATAGAATATGAATATCATAGCAAGTATGATTTTTTCTTGTGACTGTATGCTTCACACTTACTACTCCTTTCTCTTTCTACCCCCTGTTCATATTTTCCTTTCTTTCCTGTTAAAATCATTAACCTGTAGCAATGCCCCTAAAAATATTAACTGTATTTTACATAAGGTTGGCTAGTTCCACATTTTAGTATAATTTGAAATTCTATTTTTTATTGTGTTCAATTGTATATCTAAATCAGACCTATATAGCTTGTGTCATACTGAACTGGAATCAGCACACTAGTTACATGTGATTGGTCTCTGGTAGGTTGAGTAATTTCTTTAGTTTTGTTTGCTGTCTGCCTGTGATCAAAGAGGGAGATGTCAAATACCTGGCAGGCATTAGCATTATGGGTCACAAATTGTGCGAACCTGTTCTAGACTGTTGGTTACAATTTCTTTAAAACTTGTAATTTTAGATATCAGATAGTTACATGTTAGATTTCATAGTAATATGACTTCTTGGTTAATTAATACAAGCTTTCTGTTTTATAGTTGCACAGTATCCTTTTGAAGACCATAATCCACCACAGCTGGAGCTTATCAAGCCTTTTTGTGAAGATCTTGACCGATGGCTTAGTGAAGATGGCAATCATGTTGCGGCAATCCATTGTAAAGCTGGAAAGGGACGAACTGGTGTAATGATTTGTGCATATTTATTACATCGAGGAAGATTTCAGAAGGCACAAGAAGCTCTAGATTTCTATGGGGAAGTAAGGACCAGAGATAAAAAGGTGAGAAGTTTAATTTTGGGCACTTGCCTAGATTTTTATTTGCAAAACAGCCATGTAGGAGTATTTCAAACCTTGTGGTTTTCGTTTATTACATGGTTACTACATGGTGTGGTTTCTTACCTGTTTTTTGGATTCAGACAATGGTGTGGTTTCCATGGTTGTCTGTTTTCCACCCTCTTCTATCATTTCTCCTAATGGTAGCAGGTATTATGCTCATAGGTGAAATTCATACTCTCTCACAGCACCATCTCCTCCCTGTCCATCACTTGCTGCAGATATGTCCACATTCCCCTGTGCCCAGGATTCACACTTGCTGGAAAGAACCACTCACCCCACTGCATGGAAAACATCAGGGGCAGACTATGCCCTTCTCCACCCCCTCCCAGGCCATGGCCAGTGCCCATCACCACACTCAGGAGCCCTTCCCTTCAGCTCTATCCATGCCATTATGCACCATCAGTTTATCCTGGTACCCCTTCCTCTTTGATAGGCAATGCTGTGAGTGGCTTCATCTGGCACTTTCCCCTTACCCTCCATCCAGCTTACAGCCATACCCCACACAAGAATCACACAGCTGTTGCAAAACATGTCTTTACTATTTAGGTCCCTTATGATTACAGGTACTTGAGTGTAGGGAACGTATGGCTGTTCCAGAGAACCAGATGTTAATGAATTTAGTAGCTTCTTCCACTGGTGTGCAAGGTCTGCAGCCCTATAGCTGTGCCCACATACTATCCCCCACATATCACAGCACCTAGCTCCATGCTAGCATGCATCCAGCAGCTGGATGAAGTGCCCTACTCCCACCGTTCCCTGAACATGGCACTGCCCACTCCTTAATTCCATGGACATATGCTTACACATCTGTATGCATAGTTAGCTTACAGCAGTGTGATGGGGTTCTGAGGGCTGCACATGGGGCTTAGGGTGGGGGACATCTGCAACGTGACTCCATCCAGTACCCCCACATCTTTCTGTGGGTGGGCAGAAAGTCCTGAGGGGCACTCTAATATGGAAGATCTACCATTGGAATATCTCTGAGTAGCTCATTCAGATCTACTGGGAAATTGCAGTGCAGATCCCCAACAGGTCACACACCTGGCAGCAGTTGACATCAGTGGGTTCAGAGGATTGCAGGAGGCATCAATTGCAGGGCTTGTTGACAATTCCACAGAATATCAGGTACATGATAGGAATGTGGGAGAGGAAGGGAGCCAGAGCGGGGGACATGGTCTTCTCAAGGTACAGTCCATGTGCTCCTCTTGTGTGGGGGAAACTTTGCCTGGAGGGGATCAGTGCTTCTGCCAGAAAAACAGAGGCAGAGCTGCCCATGGGTGGTGTTTGTGTAAACAGCAATAACCAGACAGGAGCACAAAATACAGCTGTCTCCAAGGTTGCTACTTCTGGAGGTGGCACAGTGTACTTCTTCACTGTTAGCAACATTTCAAATTCACAGGTAGGCATCTGGAAGGCAGAGGTGAAAAAGAGTATGGAGTGGCCAATCAGAGTGTGGTTGGAGCTAATGCTTCTGTTTCTAGGCTGATCGGAACAATGGAAAATGTAGGCAGGAGCATCTCATCTAGCAACAGCTGTTCTTTCCATTGGATTCCATGGCAGCTGTGTGGAAATCATGCTATTTTTTTGTGGTTTCATTCAATTGAACAATCTATGATGAAATGTCCAATAGAGACCATCTTTACCATGCTGTACCACACTGGCCGGGTTCATGCAACGAACCATGCTGGGATGATTTCCACTGTGGTTTAGTGTTAGGTGTGAACCCAGCTTTGTGTATGTATGTGTGCAGGTTGTAGGAAAGTCCAAGCATCTTACAGATGCCACTGTTGGGAACTAGGCTAAGTCCCAGTTAGCGAGAAAATAAGAAAATCACAGTATGCATGCCCCACCCTAGTATTACTTGTTACTAGGACTGTCATTTGATTAGATAATTTTAACTTACTTATTGTAGGAGTTTTAATTGATTAAATTTGCATATGAGCATAGTTCTTAAAAGAAAAAACAAACTTGCTTTTTATTTTAGGACATGTGTGCATTTTGCATAGCAGATACAATGTCAGAAGTGTTTCATCCCATGAGAGTTGGAGCAGGGTAGGATGAATGCTTCTTTTAAGAAAGCAAGCTGTGAGCCATAGATGTGAAAGTATGTGTATTCACAGAGCTTAAGCTTTCAAAAAATCTGTTGGCCAATTTAAGTGGGACACGTTTTACTTGATCAAAGTATTTTTTGACTAAATATATTGACTAAAAGTTGCAGTCCTAATTGTTGTAATTACATTCGTAATTTCATAATTTCCAATCCATGCTTTATGTTTATGTAGCATTCAGAAAGAGATAGACAGTAACCTCTGTTATCCTCAACTAGTCCTATTAATTGACTTTGCTACTAATCTTGGCCCAGCTGCAGGGTCAGCTCAGTCCCAGATGCTGGCATTGATAGCTGCTTCTTCTTCATCATGGCCTCTGTACATCACACATTATGGGTGCTGCACCTGTGCAGTGCCCATTGCCGGGATGATTAAACAGCTTTAACGGTTTTTGGCAGGAACTCTGCACCCCCTTCACATAGTATAAATGGGCAGAGTGCCTGCCATTTCCCCAGTCTTCTTGCGACTGGTGTTTGCTGTGCCTCAAGCCTTTCACTTGCCTTTCGTAGCTATACTGTTATACAAGTTCTTACTTTTTTTCTTAAGCTTTACAACTTACTTTTACCCTTGTTCCAAGTTTGCAACCCTCAATCCTCCCCCCGCCCTGTTTTCATCGTTGTTTCCTCCCTTCCCCTTTTCCCCTTCCGAACCTTCTATTGTTGTTCCTCTTGTTAATTCTTCTTGTTCACTGTTTTCCTCTCTTTTCTTCTTTGATGGTGCAGTGGGCAGCTTTCCGCAAGTGTTCTCAGTGTGGAGCTAAAATGTCTCCCACTGACCCATACGATCTGTGTCTTCTTTGCCTGGGAGAAGGGCACAGGACTGATATGTGCAGCCATTGCCAGTCATTCTCCAGACAGGCCTGCCAAAACCATGAAAACCATCTGCAGAAGATGCTCTGGGACAAGGCTTTGGTTGCCATGAAAAAGATCTCAGCGGAGACCAGCTCAGCGGGTCCATCTAAGCCTGCTCCTCCTCATCCATCTGAGGGGGCTGTGGTGGCTCAGGAGGGAAAGTGCTCCTCTCACTCTCCCCACTGCAAGCAGAAGGAGAAGAGAAAGCACATTGGGTTCGACGAGTTCTCTGTGTCTAAGAGACCTAAGAAGGACAAACCCAACAAGGAGGAGCGCAGGCACAAAAAACACTCTAAGGTGTGCTGCTCATAATGGGTGTCTGCTCCACCTTTGGTCCCGATTGTTGCCTCAATTCTGGCTTTGAACCTGCTATTCAGTCCATCATGCAAGTTGACACCGATGCCAACTTCTCCGGAGGATTCGCTGAGGGCTTCTCAATGCCCATCCTCCCTCCCACAGCAGCAGGTCCCAGTTCAACTTTCCAAATACTGGGTCCAGTTGCCATATAGAGAGTTCCACGGGACTACTATCCTCCCTAGGGCTACTATCTGAGAGGGACGCTCCATCATCTTCTGTGGCTGCCCTTTCTTGACCTCCGCCTTCACCTGTTGAGTCTTCCTCGAATCCTCCTTATCATTCAGACTCTGACTTGAATGACTCGCAGTAGGCGTCAGTCAACATCACCAGACGCCATGATTTCAACCCAGGATCCAGACTCCCCTGGAGACTGTCACGGCAACTTTGCAGAGCTGCTGTTCAGGATGACAAAGTCATTGGAGATAGGCATCCAACACCACATCGATGCCAACCAGGACAACATCTATGACATCATGCGGAAAGAGGACTCCTCCATCATTCTACCCTTTATTACAACACTTAGGCAAGTGATGATGGACACATGGCAGCTCCCAAATCAGCTGCACCCAACATCCAGACAATTGGAGTTCATGTATAAGATCTGGGAACAAGACATCCCCTTCCTTTTGAAACATCCCAAACCGAACTCCATTTTCATTGAGTCTTCCCAGGGTCAACAGAACAAGGAGCACTTGACACTGATAGACAAGGAAGGCAGAAAGATTGACATGATGTTTTGTCTATGTTGCTATGGGACTCGGTCTTCGTATCTCTAGTTATGAGGCCATTATGATGAGGTAGCAGTACTTCCTGATGCAAAAGATTGAGTCCCTCACCTCTAATCTTCCTGACCAACACAGGTAATTGGCCTGCATGTTCACCCGCAAGGTGATGCAGCTGTCAATCCAACAACTCAACACAGCAAGACATCATGTCGACTGTGGCTCTAGGGCTCTTGTTGGCACCATCGTCCTGTGTCGCCACGCCTGGTTACGATCTGGTAACCTACCTGATGAGACCAAGTAGTTAGTGGAGAACATGCCTTTTGATGGCTCCAGTCTCCTCCATGCTAAGACTGATGACAAGCTAGAAAAAATACACAAGGCTCGCCTCACTGCTCATCGTATGGAGACGCCTTCACATTAGCAACATAAGTGGTTGTGGCCTCATTCTGCTAGGGTTGATACTGCTATCAACCCTATTAACAACTGTACACGGGGGGCCAACAGTTCCAGCAGTGTCAACAGAGGAACCGGAGGCAGAATGCACTGTGGTACCAGGAACCTCGTCGCCGTCCCAACACTGACAAACACCAGCGTTGATGGAATACGTGAACCTCTCTTCAATCCTCCTACCTCAATCCTCCTTGATCCCCTCTTCCTTTTTGGGGATTGGCTGCAAAGCTGACTCCCCATCTGTGAGTCCACATCTGATAGGTGGGTTCTTACCATCATAGTGCACGGATACAAAATCGAGTTTGAGACTGTGCCGCCTCCTGGACCGATTCGATACATGGTAGCCCCTCCAGTCCTTCTGGAAGAAGTTTCCCACCTGCTTCGTAAAGGAGTGATTTGAAAACTCCACTTCTCCGAAGGCCTGCACAGTTTTTACTCTAGGTACTTTATGG